CGGACTAAACTATCTGTATTTATTATTTGAAGCGAGTCATTTCGTTTCCCTGATTATTTATCCTTGTCTGAATGTATTTATGTGTATATTTGTAGATTTCTCCGGCCGAGCTTAGAATTCGCTTCCAGGCCGTGGGGGCCACATTTCACCTCCTTAGTCCCCTTGGTTTGAACTAGTTGAAAGAGTAGTTTTGAACAGTCGTAACGGTGGCTGGTGTTTGTAGTTGATGTAAAGGATTTAAGACCGCAAATTGTCCTTCATGGGTAGAGTCAGGAAGCCCGGTGGTGTGGCACAACACACGTTAGACATTTCTCAAAAGCCACAGCCCTCACCACAGTTTATTGATTTCAAATTGTCTGGCACTATTGGAACAAATATTTAGAATAAAAATTTCTCAGTTGGAAGTGTATCTGTGTTAATTATGCACACTTTTGAGCAGATCACTATGCCTTTATCTTGCACAATCCCCATGGAAGTCCCCGGAATAGGCTGACACTTGAAAACATTAATTTATTTATTTGGAGTCTAGTGCAAAAATTGGTTCTGGGGATACTTGATTACTTTCCAGCTATTGAAATTAGGGGAGGGGGAAATGAGGATGCAAACCTAGAAAGGTCCTAGGCAGGATGATTTGGATAGGGCTTTTTGAAAGTAGCGCCTGCTTTGCTCTTTTTACTGCCCTCTTTCTAGACACAATCGACTTTTACATTGGGGAGGCCAGAGCTCACTTTTCTGCATTAAGTAACAAAAAATAAACTTTGAAAGAAAACTGACAATCAAAGAAAAAACACAAGAGAAGCTGTAAAAAGAAATGAGCTATTTCTCATAGAATTTCTATGAGAAACTAAGGTGTAGAAAAAGAAACCATCATTTGAAGATGCACACCGAAGCCTTTTCTCCAGGAAATGCTGTCATGAATTCTTCCTTTGTAGTGATCATTAGTTCATTTCTAAAGAAAACAAACATTCCCCATGATGTAAAGAAGTTTCATAAATGAAACATAAGTATAAACACCTTGTCTACTCCTGTTTCTTTGTACAAAATGGGCAAAAATGTCTTCAAGGATTTATAACCATTTTGTAAATACTAATGTGGCTTCTGCTAGGGGTGGACAACTTCCCTGCTTCTATGAGGGGCCACTTAGAAAACGCCTTCAGATAAGGTTCAATTCTTTTGTATTTCAGCAAAGTCAGCCCACGCATCTCTATTTGGTTTGACAAATAATGCAACTCCCACTACATCCCTGATGACATGAGGTGAAATTCCTATTGTGTGGAAATAATTTAACTTCTCATCTTCTGGTGGAACACCAATCGTTTCTATTTGGATGTTTGTATTTCGCTAAGTAATGATGGCTCAAAATAATATTTAGTTTCCTTGTTCTTTTGTGCTGTTTTTAAAATGGCATGTTAGATGGGGGTGGGAGTGGATATCCTTTTGCTAAATTTCACTTTATTTGAGCAGGTTTAAAATATATATGTTGTAGAAGTGTATCAACAGAATAAATGACTTCAATCGAAGGCATATTTTACCCACTTTCAAGGCTTAACATTGTTTTCTATGAAATTTGCATCCATAGGCAGAATTTCTAATTGTCTTGTAAGAAATTATTTTTTAAGCTATTAGAGAAATCAAAGAAGAGCTCACTGCCTTTCAGGGATTACAACCACCTTTCATAACTGGCTAAATATTAAATAGCTGAATTGTTAGGCTGCTTAGATTCAGCCCAGTTTTCCCTCATCTCCTCTTCCTACCATAAATAATAATAAAAATACATAATGTATCATGGCTCCAGGCGTTTTCCAGCACAGTGTGTTACCGCGGAGTATCTGCTGAGTCTGCGGGTGTCTGCAAAGCCCCAAGTGTCATTTGCGGCTTAGGGTTTCATGGATTAGACTTTTGTGTCTAGCCCGGCTGACATCAGCTTCCTCTCACACTCAGGCTCCAAGGACGTGCGGGATCTGGGGCTTTCTCTCCAGACAGCCGCAGCCTTCCCCGAGGCCCTCCACTCGAGTGGGCTGAAGGCTTGGACCAAATCCGCTGCCTTCTCCCACCTTTGGAGGTTCCCGAGACTTCCAAGAATGGCTCGAATCTGTTCCTGCCATTGGCGTGAGACTCATCTGAGGGGCATTGGTGGGGGTGGCGACGAGCCATGGGAGGGCGCGTTTCACGCGGCTGCCAGCCCAAGAGAGAGCTGGGGCCCGCGGCACAGCCATTTAAAACTTCATAAATTATAAACATGCCGCCTTAGACTTCGCAATAAATTCCGCTCCTCTTGAGCCTGCAATTAGTGTTAGAAAGCACCCGAGTCTAAACACAACCAAACGCCCTCTGAAGGGCCCAACTGCCCGAGGTTGCAAACGTTTATTCCCCAGTGTCCCCCTCTGCGCCTGAGGTTTGCACACACCGTCGCCTCCTCCCCCGCCACCACCGGCCGCACACTCGGCTGGGTTCCCGCTCTGCAAGGGAAGGTCACAATAGCTGCTCTAGCGGCGGCGGAGGCGCCTGCTGCCTCCCTCCCGGGTCTCAGAAGCAGAGAAACAAGAGGATGGGGGAGGGGAAGCCTCAGCAACAGCGCCCTTTGGGGGAGGCAACCTCTACTCTTGCCAGGGTCTCTTTCCTGGGACAGGTGCTCGTGAAGGGTCGTGGGGGGGGGGGGGGCGGAGGGCAACGGGACCACACCAAGACCACGAGATTGCTTCAGGCCTTGCTGCCAGGTGCTGGGTTGAGGGTGCCAGGAGCAGCCGCGCCATTGTGTGCCAGGTTTTCCCATGGGTTCCGTGATGGGGGAGGCCTTGTAAAGGCCGGGCCTCTCTGGCACTGGTCTCTGGGAGGGTCCACCTTATTTGCCCAAGGGGAAGAAATGGCTGTCTCAGGCCTCAGCCAGAAAGCCTGCTTTTTTCCTATAGAGACAGCTTTGGGAAAGGTGGGAATCAGGGAGATTGTGAGGCCTTCTGACGTCTGAAGAAAGGGGTCAAGGCAGGAGCTCAGGCCCATGGATGAGGGGTGGTAGTCGTCTGGACATTCTTGGTGGTTTTGTCCAGGCAATCAAATGGGAATTAAGGCAGGATAGCTATGAGGCAGCCTAATGGCCAGCTGCAAAATGGGAGGTGGGGGTGGGGAAGGAGATGCAGACAGAGCTTTCGCTGCGGAAAAACTCAGGATCCAGCCAGGAGTGAAGTGCTGAGACCCAACTGGGCTAGTCAGGAGGGACGGGGAAGTGGCAGAAGAAAGGCCTGAAGAGTAGCCTTGGCCACTGGTGAGCAAGTCAGAAAGGGCGATTAAGGACATATTCTGCCTCCTGGCTTTCAGACCTCCACCTCATCTGCGAACCTGACAGAGAAAAATCTGCCTCTGATGGAATCATTAAGTTAACCATCCATTTGTACCATTTCTTTGTATAGGCTTTCAAATGAGAGAGAGAATATAGGAGTACGTTTCCTTTGGTGCAGCCCCAAGCTCCCTATCAGAGACACATCAGCCAAATTAGTTTCTGAGGCTCCAGAGGCTGCTAACCTTGCTGAACAAGGTTTTTAGAATTTCTATGTGTTAGGAGTATTAAAAGATAGTGATTACCTATACTAGCTGCCTGTGTCCCTTCTCCCTTCCCCAGTTTGTACCAGCCCACTGGCCCTTGAGTGAAGTGCATCTTCTCAGCCTGCAGGCTTAGGAGCTCAGGCTCTCCATCTGTTGAGGTTTTTCATTAGGGAGACTAAAGAGGATGTGTGTGGGTGTGTGTTTGAATAACAAAGAAGTAACCCTTCCTTCTAATAAAGTGTTCCTCTGCTTGACCTGGGGGAGCCAGAAGCTTGTTTATACCTTCAGTATTCCAGGGACAGTCACAGGCCTGTTTTGACCTCTTCCTGAGAATTAGCTGAAACTTCCTTCTGAAGCCAGTAGTGAATCTGTTACAGGTCTAAGGAAGGTCCTCTTCATCTGGGAGTTCTTGACATTACTTTGGTCCTTCTTTTAGAAACTGAAAGAAAAGAATTGGAAGAACAGAAGTTTGTGAGTAGGCAGAAAGAGAGATGGAAGACCCCAGTCTTCACAGGCCTATGGCCTGATCACTTCAAGGCACTGCAACTTCCCAGAGAGAGCATATGTGTAGAGCCTGGGTGAGTGGGCCTATTTCTAGACACTTTGGCATGGAGAGCTGAGACTGGGTTGTCACTAGCCAAGCCCTTACCATCTTGGAGAGCTGGTTCTTAGATCTTTCTTGCAGAAGGCCTGGATAGAAAGAAGAAAGACTGGATATATAAGTCCTCCACATTTCCTGCACTGGTGATGCTGAAGAGGAAGGATGGTGAATGATGAAGATTATCACAGAGGATGAAATGTTAGTTCTCAGTTTTCATTGTTCCCTGTTTTGCTTTGTTTTCTTTTGAGATGGAGTCTTGCTCTGTCACCAGGCTGGAGTGCAGTGGCACAATCTCAGCTCTCTGCAACTTCCACCTCCCAGGTTCAAGTGATTCTCCTGCCTCAGCCTGCTGAGTAGCTGCGACTACAGACATGCGCCACCACGCCAAGCTAATTGTTTTATTTTTTAGTAGAGATGGGGTTTCACCTTGTTTGCCAGGGTGGTCTCGATCTCTTGACCTTGTGATTCAGCCACCTCAGCCTCCCAAAGTGCTGGGATTACAGGCATGAGCCACTGAGCCTGGCCCTGTTCCCTGTTTTCTATTCCAGCTACAAAAACCCTTATCTTTGGAGTCCAAGGTTGAAAACAAATGGATTTAGGTATCTAGCCTAAAGCCTATTCCTAAAAACTTTTCCCAGGTTTCACACCCACCTTGGCAAGTTGGAAAGTACAAAGACAATATAAGGGCCCATCTTCAGGCCAGGTCCAGCATGAAACAGAGTGAACACAATATTTCCACACATGAGGGAAGAGCCAAGGGAGATGAATGTCCAGTCATTTGCAATAGCAGAGGCGGGTGAAGGGTCCCCAGATCTGTAAGGCAGGAGCTATTGCATGAGTCTTCCTGTCCTAGATCTTGGGCAAAATGTCTTGATTGGTTCCTGTAGCTAGTCTGGATTATTTTAAAGAAATAATAATATCTGGAGAATCATAAAAGCTGAATTTTAACATTAGTAAGGGCCAGAAGAATTTAAATCCTAATGTAAGACAGAATTCATGAAGAGTTCTAGTACAGATAGTGTTTTTATCTGGGAAGCAGGGCTCAAAACCAGGTCAGGAGGGCTTGTTGGGCCAGGAGTGTCCGTGGTTGGTAAGGTGGCTGGGGGAAGGCCTTTTGATGGCTCCATTGTTCACAGTGCTGCCCTACATATACCATACCCCTCCCACCTCCTCTGCCAGGGCCGAGGGGAAGAGTAGGTCCGGTGAACTGAGCTCTAGGGAGCTGGTACCAGCGTCCCTCAGCCACCCTCGGCTACCCCTTGGGGCAGCAACGATGCCATCCCTGTCCCTGGTAGAGAACACACAAAGGAAGCCCCACCCGTCCTTGGAACTGAAGACACGCTGGGGTGGCGGCTGGCGTGGACCCCATTTCAGGGCGCCCCTGGTCCCCGCGGGGAACAATAGCTGCCGCTTCCTGGGCGGTCTGGCTAACGCCAGGCACAAAGGTCTGGGCCGCCATGTGATGCGCAGGCTCGCTCCGCGCGCGTTCTCCACGCCCCCGCGAGCCGCCAGGCTGCAGGCAGGGTGGGCTGATGCTCCCGATCCACCTGGAGCACTTTCGCAAAGACAAACGGTGAGTTAATCACCCTACCGGCTGGCAACCGGGTCCCCTCTCGCCAGCGAGGAGGACTGGAGCGGGGCTGGGGTGAAGGATTTCTGTGTGTGTGTCTAGGGTGGGGGGCGGGAGAGGTTAGTCCTATTAAGAGTTCATCAATCACCCGGTGTGCACTTTTCGCTCGACAGCGGTTCCTCCTACTTCAGAGCAAGTCTGGGCCAGCTGGGATCCGACCAGAAACCGCAAGCGGAGGAGACGTAGGCACACAAGCTGAGCGCTAACGGAAGCCGAGACCTGAGCCCCGCGCCTGCTGGGGAGCTGCGCAGCCAGGACAGCAGTCGGCAGCGCAGGGCCTGGACGCAGGGCCGGCCGTCGCTGCCTCACGTCCGAGGCTAGCAAGGCTGCCCGCCAGCCCCGCCGCCCGCCTTCGGACTTCCCGGGGAGCCCAGGGCCCTCCCAACGCGCCTGCACCCACACCCGCCCCTGACCCACAGTGACCCTGCATTCCCCGCCCCCCGCCACACCTCCTGCGTGCCCGAATGTCGCCCTTAAACGCTGCTCTACACTCAGAGAGGGACGAATCCACCTGTGAAGGCAGGGCAGGACTAATTTCAATGGGTCAGAAGGTTCTTGCAGGCACTGTTTTATTTAAGAGTGTCTATTTACTGGCAGGAGTATTTGTGTGGGAGGAAGTAGGCTAAGACTGCTGTTGAACTTGAAGCTAAACTTGAAAGCCATTTAAAATAACAATAAAAATATACTTAAAACACCAACCACAACGATATGACTCACCTCACCTCTCCAGTGTGGAAACACTCCAGTATTTTTACCTCTGTTCTTTCCAGCTTATTTTAAGAACACCCTAAAGGGATAGACAGCAAGTTTCTGGGGGTAGTCATTAGCATTAGAGCTGTTTACAGCAGGAGGGTTTGGTGGAATTGGTGGTGAAGCATTGTTATGATCCCTCTGGAGTGGTCATGCTGTTCTCCTTATAAATCCTAACCAAATTCCGGCCTAGTTTCCCTTTCCCCCTTTTTTGCTGGGGGGCATCAGCTGAGACATTTCTGAAGTTAGTAAATGTGTTGCATTAGCCCACAGGAAAGAGCCCCTGAAGGACAGAAAGCCCCAGCTTTTGCCCTCTCTCCTTCAGCCTTCTCTCCCTTCATCCTCTTGGGTGGAAAATGAACTTGCTTTGGAAATATGTTCTACCATCTTGCTTCAGATAGATATAAGCTGAAGCATTAAGCCTCACACAGTGTCCTGAACTCACTGAGCAATGAAACTACTGGTCCTGCTGTCCTTGGTTCAGTCTGTCCCTCCTCCTTGCCTTTCACCAATTCCTAGTGAACAGCTCCTATGCACGCTGTGCTGGGCTCCGGGATACAAAGATGAGTCACTGATGGTGTGTGCCCTTCAATCTAGTGGGGAAGAGAAATAATCCTGAAACAATAATGATAGATGCTGTAACAGAGGTGTGGTCAAAATGTTTCTATAATAAAAAAAAGAGCCACTAATACTACTATAACATCAAAAAAAAAAAAAAATCAGAGGAGGTAAATTCGGGTTCCTGAACTATAAGAGTTTTTCAGGCCAAGAAGGGAAGGCCATACCAGGTAGAGCGCAACTCATGAAAAAGCAAAGAGGGAGGAAAAAGCAAAGTCTGGCCTTGGAACAAGGAGCATACTTTGGAGTGTGGGCATCCTGGCTAAAAAGGGAAGTTGCACAGGGTTTATGTGAAGGAGTCTGGACCTACTCTGTCAGGAGCAGGGAACCACAGCAGGTTTTAAGCTGGGATGTGAAGTTATGTATTTTGAAGCTAACTCTTAGGGATGCTGTATCTGATTGGAGAAAAGAGAGATCTGAAAGAAGAACAAAAAAGGAGGTGACTGCAACAACACAGCAGTTAGAGAGGAACTAATTAACAAGAATGAAGAGAAAACACATTTAGGAGGTAGAATTCACAGGACTCAGTGATGAACTGGATGAGTAAAAGAGGAGTTGTGGATATTAATCTCTAGATTTGAGGAGCTGAGTCATGCTAGTCACTAAAATAAATAGAAGAGGGAGAAGAGAAGGCTTTGCAGGGAAGCTGATGAGTTTGGTTGCAGTCTACATTTTATTTTCTGCTTTGCTACTGACACACTGTGTGGCTCTATGCAATTTACTTAATCTTTCTGGTCTTCTGTTTCTGCAGTGAAAGAGTCAATAAAGATGTCTACCTCATAGGTTTATCATTAGAGTAGTATGGGTATGTGTTTCAGGTATTAGTATCTTCACAAGGTCCAAGTAAGTATTCTACAGAAAGCTAAAACCTAAAGAAAACACACCCCCACTCACAACATGCTGATTAATACTTAGATCCTGGGTGGCCAGTGAGAAATGTCTAAGAGAAATTAAAAACAATGCTTTGTAGATATTGAATCCAAGCTAATATTTAGGACTAGGTTAGAGCAAATTGCTAATCAGAGACCTCTCCTTCAAGAGCAGTGCTCGCTGGAGGAGTCATGCAGAAATGTGGTCTTGGTATCAGACCACTAAAGAAGAGGTCTTTTAGCCAATGTCAGGCAGCTTCCATGTTTTGTTTTGTTTTGTTTTAATATCACCTGTCTTTCAGAGAATGCTTGAAGGCCCCTACTCTCTTTTGAACCTCTTTATGCCCTTTGTGGAATGGTGTAGTACAGAGAATAGTGCTGAACATCTGATTCTGGCCATTTACACTGGGTGTGATTACAGCAAGTTGTTTATCTTTTCTGTGTTAGTATTATCATTTGTAATACAGAATTATAAAAGGCTCAAGATAAGGAAGAGAGAGATTTGGGGAGATGTTATAAGGGTAAGTAAAAGGTATTATTTTTCACTTATCAGATTGGCAAACATAAAAACTTCAACATCCCATTAACTTGGCAAAGGTGTGAGAAGACAGGAATGCTCATATATTGCTGATAGAGGTATAAATTGATTCATTTCTGTAGAGAAATGTATTAAAACTGTCAGTACACATACCTTTTGACTAAATCATTTCACTTCTACAAATTTTTCTAATAGGTAAAAGCTTGACCATGTGTTTGTAATAGCAAAAGGTTGAAAACAAGCTAAATGCCCATCAATAGGGAATGGCTAAATGAATTGTGGCAGGTGTATACAGTAGAACAGTATGAAGTTATAAAAGTAAACTAGGGCCAGATGCTGTGGCTCACATCTGTAATCCACTTCAGGAAGCCAAGGCTGGCAGATCACTCAAGCCCAGGAGTTCGAGACCAGCCTGATTTTTGTAGAGATGAAAACTTGTCCCTACAAAAAAAATACAAAAATTAGCTGGACATGTTTGTGTATGCCTGCAATCTCAGCTACTCAGAAGGGTGAGGTAGAGGCCGGGCACAGTGGCTAATACCTATAATCCCAGCACTTTGGGAGGCCGAGGCAGGTGGATCACGAGGTCAAGAGATCGAGACCATCCAGGTCAACAAGGTGAAACCCTGTCTCTACTAAAAATACAAAAATTAGCTAGGCATGGTGGTGCATGCCTGTAGTCCCAGCTATTCAGGAGGCTGAGGCAGGAGAATTGCTTGAACCCAGAAGGTAGAGATTGCAGTGAGCTGAGATCGTGCCATTTGCACTCTAGTCTGGGTAACAATAGCAAAACTCCGTCTCAGAAAAAAAAAAGAGGGTGAGGTAGAAGGATCACGTGAGCCCAAGGCTGCAGGGAGTCATGATTGGACCACTGCACTCCAGCCTCAGCAACGAAGTCAGACCCTGTCTCAAACTACCACCACAACAATCCAGGAAGTTATGTGTGTAAATGAAGTTATATGAAGATTATTTATATGAAATGATCTTCAAGATACAATAGGGGGAAAGCATGGTGCAAAAAAGTCTGCCTAGCATGCTACCATTTGTGTAAAAACCTGTGGAGTACACACTCACACATATATAAATTGTGCTAGTAAAAATTGTCTCTGAAAAGATACCCAAGTTGGTTGCTTATGTGAAGGAAAACTAGGTAGCCGGGAAAAAGAGTGGGAGGAAGACTTTCCACTGTATACCCCTTTGTACCCTTTGAATCTTGAACCAGGCACATTTAAATTTATTACCCATTTGAAAAAGTAAAAGAAGACAGGCATGGTGGCTTTCACTTGTAATTCCAGCACTTTTGGGAGGCTAAGGCAGGCTGATCACTTGATGTTAGGAGTTCGAGACCTGCCTGGCCAACATGGTAAAACCCCATGTCTACTAAAAATACAAACATTAGACAGGGGTGGTAGCATGTGCCTGTAGTCCCAGCTACACAGAGGATGAGGCAGGAGAATCACTTGAACCTAGGAGGCGGAGGTTGCAGTAAGCCAAGATCATGTCACTGCCTTTCAGCCTAGGCAATTAGAGCAAGACTCTGTCTCATAAAAATAAAAAATAAATAATAAAAGAACAGAGTAGAGGGTGGCGGAAGGGAGAATATCGGGGAAAATAACTAATGGGTACTAGGCTTAATACCTAGGTGATGAAATAATCTGTATAACAAACCTCCATGATACATGTTTATCTATGTAACAAATTTGCACATGTATCCCTGAACTTAAAATAAAAATTACAAAACAAAACAATACCATTAAAAAGAAATGGAACTCACCTTGAGTAAAATAAGTAAATAAAGGAACAGCAACAACAACAAATTGTTAGTACAAGTGACCTGGGTGTGCCTGTGTGTGTTCATAAGTGTTCTTATTTATACTTGTTCTATCCAGCAAAATTAATCTTGGGATACCTCTTGTTTCATTCCCCCAGGGCTCTGATGCTGATCAACCTCAACGATAATGAGGGGACCCTTTCCTCTTGCTTGGTGGTGGGGACCTAGGTCTGTCTCTGCCCTCTCCTGTAGGAGTACTCAAGATGAGGCTACAGAAGTCTGGGGCAGAGCAGCAGGCCTCTCAGTCAGAACCACTGACTGTGTGGCCTCCCGGAAATGAGTACACCTTCTTGAGCACTGCTCTGCTTGCTTGGGATCGAGGCCTGCCACTATGCCAAGGAGTGGCTACTGTACTTCTTTCTCTTCGAAGATTGTGAAAAGGCGATGGACTGTGGAAAGTCAGGAGACCAAAGGTGGTTTTGTTTTTTTGCAGGATGGCTTTGTATTTTAACCTCTGAGTAAAGTGACTTCATCTCTAAAATTAGGGGTTTGATGTAGCTTACCTGGAAGGTGTTTCTAGCTTTGGCATCTTAGGCTGTGAAAAGTCAGCCTTTAGATAGAGGAAGAGTTATAGCTTAGGCTAAGGGACATTTGGCTTCCTCTGGATCCCTGGGGCTCAAAGGCATATTCCAGACAATTTGAGAAACAGAAAGAAAAAAGGGTGGAGTCCTCTCTCTTGAGATGCTGATTCTCACTTCTTTCTTCTCCCCATTGCCTCAGAACCACTCTAAATTTTCTCTGAAGAGACTGGAAGAGACTAATCTCTTTCTGTTCCCACCCCACTGGCATCATCAAAGCCAAGGTAGGGAAGTGGCAAGAAGCAGAAGTGAGCCCAGTCTCTGCAAATCACCAATGGCCAGCAAAACTTGGGAAACTTCCAACTGACCACTTCTTAAGGGTATGTTCTAAAACTTCAGCCCAAGTAGACTTAAGTTTGACCTTGACACTGACCTATCTGCAACCCAAGAGACCTCTGGACACTTTTTAGGTATACTCATGTACCAGCTAAACATGACCTCTCATCATTCATGATCCCTCCCATAGGAACATCTCCTTTCTTCCCATACTGCTCCTTCCCACCCCAACTCCTACAGCAGAACTTTTCAAAGTGTAGTTCCAAAGAATCTTGCTTTAGGATCACCCCAAATTCCTTGTGAAAAAAAAAAAAAAAAAGGATTCCTAAGCCAAGCACAGTGACTCGCGCCTGCAATCCTAGCACTTTGGGAAGCTGAGCTGTGTAAATCATTTGAGCCTAAGAGTTCAAGACCAGCCTGGCAGCAGAGTAAGACCTCTTCTCTACAAAAAAAAAAAAAAAAAAAAAAAAAAAATTTAAAGTATTCTGACTCAGACCTATTGGATAAAAGTCTCTGGGGGTGACCCAAGAAACCTCAATGTTTAAACAAGGTTCTGTGGTGATTTCTACCCACCTGATGTGGTTTCGGGAGGCAACAATCTAAAGATATCCTTCAGACAATATTAGTCGTGGTAAAGACACACCATTCTGTTTGCTCTGCTTATGTCCAAGAAACATTTGTCAAATGCCTCCATGTGCAAATCACTGGCTTCACCAGTGAGACTTTCATTCACAAAATTCTCAGGGAAAGGCACAATACTTAAATGTTTTCCTCAGGGAAGGTCATATTGTCAGATTTCCAATGGGTTTAGAATTCTTGTCCTTAGGACTCCTTTGCATCCCTACCTCCATCCTAGGATGACTGAAGGATGCTACAGAGAACTGCTTCTTAATCTGCACTTTCTCTTAATGTGGCTTAAGAAAAAAACACACCCACCCTTTTTCACCCCAACAAAGACTTTCTGTGTCTTGGGGTTAGGAATCCAAGAGTTTGACTGTGCTCAAGTTGTCTCCAAATGGTAACATAGTGGGATTTGTCTAAGGGGCTTGCCCAGAGCTTCTTGAAAACAACTTTAAAAACACAGCAGTAATCCCTGCACTTGGGGAGGCTGAGGTGAACGGATCACCTGAGGTCAGGAGTTCAAGACCAGCCTGGCCAACATGACAAAACCCTGTCTCTACTAAGAATATAAAAATTAGCCAGGCATGGTAGCATGTGCCTGTAGTCTCAGCTACTCAGGAGGCTGAGGCACGAGAATCGCTTGAACCTGGGAGGAGAAGGTTGCAGTGAGCTGATATTGTGTGGCTGCACTCCAGCCTGGGGGACAAAGCAAGACTCCATCTCAAAAATAAAATAAAATAGACAAACAGAAGACCAGACTGCCGCCCTCCATCACTTCTGTCTGCAGAAAAGAGGCTCGTTATTAGAAAGGGAGAGAAAGGTAGTCATGAAAGAGATAGGGAATGGGTAGGGAGTCACTGCTGTGGTGAGCAGGATGGGAGAGATTTCAAAGCATTCCTACATCAATCGGGGCCCCTCTGCTGTCACCTCACGTGGAGAACTCAGCACCAGGACCCAGCAGGGCAAGTGACCCTTGGGAATTCATGGCTTGACAAGTAATAAAATTAGTAAGACATTTCTCCCACACTCTGTGAACATCTAAGAGACAAATTTTAAAGTTACTCAAAATATGCTATATTCACATCTTTCTACATTTCCCCAAATAATATCTTCCAATCTCTCCTTAGATAATTATAAATTAAGATTCTTTTAGAGTAAATTTATAGTATAGCTAAGACCTGTGTTAGAAATTAATCTCTAGTTCCTTTGGTTTGAGAATGTCTTTTCCCTAGCCTAATTTTCTCCTAACAAAATGCCCTTACATAGTAAATCCTTGGTAAATATCTGTTGAATTTGAGTATGAGATGACCAGAGTCTTGACTTCCAACTGAAGTAAGTCAAGAAGCAGCCCAATAATGGGAATATCAATTCTGAGCCCCAAGGTGTGAGATATCCCAAGGATTTGGAGATTAAGGGGGTAGATAGAAGGGTGAACAGAATGTAGCTTTCTTTATGCAATTATCAGAGAAATGCTATTGGGTTCGAACAAATATTGAACACCTCCCCCTCACTCTCACCCATAATTGTGAAAACAAAACAGTATTTTTAAAAACCTCATTCTTTTTTAGGACATTTTCTTCCCTCAGAAAGGCTAAATCTCCAAAATTTTAGATAATATTTTGGATAGCTAATGGATGCATCAAAATCAAGGTCTAATTATATCAGGAAGGACCCAGCCTTTGCCCTAGATGCTCAGCAGGAAAAACCTAGTCTTTGTTGCCATGAAAGCTGCCAGAACACCCAGGCAGCCTGATTTTTCTGAAACCTTAGAGAATAGGACCTTAATTTGAGGGGTTTTGGTCAGACTTGCCAGACAGGCTGACTTTTCTGCCCTAAACCTTGGGTTGCAGTTGGCTCGATGTCTTCCCCAAAGAGGTTTACAAAGCCAGTCTTCCTTCTTGATCCACGGGACCTCTGGGCTTAGGAGTTATGATAGGATAAGTATCATTTGGGGGAATGCTGTGAAAGCTGGGACATGTTGCAGATAAAACTGGCTATTAAAATCTAGCCAGAGGTGGAGGAGGGGACATTGTGAACTCAGCAGCATCTTATTTGCTGATACTTTTGCATAAACAGCACAGAGGGAGAGCAGTGAAGAAACATGTCTACATTTTAAGGCTGACCTAGCTCTAAAGCGCTCTATCATTTCCTAACTAGGGTGCTAGGAAAGAACTTTTATTTTTCTCTTCTTAAAAATTATTTAGTACCTTTGTCATCTGACTGGCTACAGCGCAAAACTGAAATAGCAAAAATCAAGTTTGAAGGGCTATTTTGAGCACAGGGATTCCATTTCCAATCAAACTCAAGAACGCCAGCAGTGCAGGAACCACAGATCCCTTTAAATTTGTGCTCATTACTAGGCATCCACCCTCTGCCAGCTCCCCTCAACCTGGGGACACCCCTTCCCCATCTCGAAGCAAGTTCAGGTCCACCAGTAGTCTACATTTTGGCAGGGCTTTGTTTATTCACAAGTCCACATCCCTGGAAGGAACTGGCTCCCTGGGCTGTGATGGCTCCTATTCTAAAGACTTCCTCAGAGTGGAATTTTAGGCAACAGCTCAATCACTCTTTTATGACAAATGGATCAGTAAAACAATAATAAAACCTCGGTTACCATAACTTAGGCTGTAATAGATTAAGTTTTCAAGGGTACTTGATATAAGCTCTGAGTAGACTCTTTAGAATCTTTATTCACACAGGGTTTTAGGAAATCACCATTTTTCATTACTACCGTGTGTAAATAACCTCTATTTATCCAATTTGTTATTTTCCTACAGCCCCCCAAAAAGGGAAACATTAAAAGAAATACTCAAGGAAGTTGTAAAGTTTGTCAGTGTAAAGCTGGTCTTTGTAACCTTTCTACTCTTCATTTCCTGTGCCAATTGCACTTTTATTTCCCGTCTCTCTACACTCAGTAAACAAAACCATATTATCAAGGGAAAGACGTGAGCCCATTAACATCGTGAGCCCTCACATTTCACTCGCAAGAGATGACGCAGCACTTATATCTGATGGAGCAGAAGCTCTAATTGCTTCGAGGTACAAGTCCATCCAAACCTCTGAGATCTCACCCCGTCCCCGGGAAGCCTTTGAGCCCTCCAGACAAGATCCTCGGTGAAAGCAAGCGCCGCACCTTGCCTGTGCCAGCCTCCCAGAGAGGTTCCACTACCACCCTGGATGCTTTATTCCAACAACCCAACCAGAGGGGAAAATCTGCTAAACTTCCCCACAAGGCAGAAACTTTATCAAAACCTGGCACTACAACACCGGCCCTCATCACGCCGCCACAAATTGCGAGGGACATAGAAAGCTGCGAAGTCACGTGACAAGGAAGCCTAGTCAAAAGGTGAAGATGTTGTCCTGCCCTAGGCACACAGCACTCACAGCATAAAATGTAGTGCCATGAGTCACAGGAAAGGAAGAAGAAAGGGAAAAAAACAAACATCTGCTCTAGGTTTAGAAGAAGGATAATAACATCAGTGCCAAGAAAACTGAAAGCGCAGAGGATTCAGGAGAAGGGAAGAGGAGTAACTTTACCTATCCTGGAGGTGGGCGAAGAGCCGTCTCCACCCGCCACGCGCCACGCGCGCGTCTAACCTTTGCGACGCCGCGAGCCCACACTCCGCCCCAAAGGGACTAGCCCCCCACGATCCAGAGCAGAAGCGACTCGCGCCCCTCCATCTCCTCGCCCTCACCCAAGCGGCGGGTCCTTCCTTTCTCCCCCCACCTCGCCCAATACCTGTCCCGGAGCAGGCGTCCTGCGTTCTTGCCCCGCCGTAACCCAGGCAGCCCCCGGCCGCGCCGCCTCTCCCCGGGGCTGGGGGGCGCCGGGCGGCGGCCCTGGGCGGCTTTGGCTAAGTTGGCGGCGGGGCAGGAGCGGGGAGCGAAGCGCCATTTGGGACCCGGGCCGTGCGGGGAGACAGCCCATTGGCCGGCCAGCGCCACGTGGCCGCCCCCGACTGTATATTAGGCCACAATTTACCCCCGTCTCGCTCGCCATGGCTTGGCGACGGCCGCTCGGGTAGAGAGCGTAGGCGGAGCGGCGCAGACGGCGGCGGTCCTGCCCAGCCTCTGCCCGGCTCCGCACTCCGGCCCCGGCCTGTGCCCTCAGGATATTGGGGCCGGAACCATGAGCTCCTACCTGGAGTATGTCTCGTGCAGCGGCGGCGGCGGGGTCGGCGGCAACGTGCTTAGCCTGGCACCCAAGTTCTGCCGCTCCGACGCCCGGCCCGTGACTCTCCAGCCCGCCTTCTCCCTGGGCAGCGGCGACGGCGCCTTCGTCAGCTGTCTGCCCCTGGCCGCCGCCCGACCCGCGCCTTCGCCCCCGGCCACGCCCGCTCGGCCGCTCGCACCGCCACCGGCCGCGTCCGAGTACGCGCCGTGCATCCTGGAGGGGGCCTACGAGCCGGGCGCAGCACCTGCCGCGGCGGCTGGGGGAGCGGACTACGGCTTCCTTGGGCCCGGGCCCGCGTACGACTTCCCCGGCGTGCTGGGGCGGGCGGCCGACGACGGCGGGGCTCACGTCCACTACGCCACCTCGGCCGTCTTCTCGGGCGGCGGCTCCTTCCTCCTCAGCGGCCAGGTGGATTACGCGGCCTTTGGCGAGCCCGGCCCCTTCCCGGCGTGTCTCAAAGAGCCAGCCGATGGCCACCCCGGTACCTTCCAGACCGCGTCTCCGGCCCCAGGCGCCTACCCCAAGTCCGTCTCTCCTGTCTCTGGCCTCCCCGCCGCCTTCAGCACGTTCGAGTGGATGAAAGTGAAGAGGAACGCCCCTAAGAAAAGTAAGTCCTCGGGCCTTGGATGGGGCCATCTGAGGTTGGGGACAGAGACTGCCCCGCAGAATTGCGCTGGGAGCGCGGCGCCACTGCCTCTCCAGACAGCGGTTGGGGTTTTGTGGAGGAGACGCGCTCCCGGGCGAATTCCATTGAGCGTGCCTCGAGAACAGACTCGGAAAATGTGCCAGCCATTGAGAAAATTTCAGGAAGGAGCTCTCCGTGGAGTTTCTCTGGCAGAAACTGTGTTCCTAGGGACCCCGGAGGGCTGCGCTGGGACTTTGATTCTAACTAGCTCCACTGCTAGCCCACGTTCTGTCCCCGGCCTCTGGCCCCGCTGACGCCCTGTCTTTACGTTTCAGGCAAACTCGCCGAGTATGGAGCAGCTAGCCCCTCCAGCGCGATCCGCACGAATTTCAGCACCAAGCAACTGACAGAACTGGAAAAAGAGTTTCATTTCAATAAGTACTTAACTAGAGCCCGACGCATCGAGATAGCCAACTGCTTGCAGCTGAATGACACGCAAGTCAAAATCTGGTTCCAGAACCGCAGGATGAAGCAGAAGAAAAGGGAACGAGAAGGGCTTCTGGCCACGGCCATTCCTGTGGCTCCGCTCCAACTTCCCCTCTCTGGAACAAGCCCTACCAAGTTTATCAAGAACCCAGGCAGCCCTTCTCAGTCCCAAGAGCCTTCGTGAGGCCGGGACTTGGGGCCAAGAAACCGTGGCCGGCAGAAGTCCCAGGCAACCCCCGCCCCTATCTAGACTTAGGAGCTCAGTTTGGGATGGAGGTGGGAGAACAAAAATGAGTAGGGATTTCACTAGGGAAATGAAGTACTTTAGTTGGCTTCTGAGTTCCAGACTATATGTCCAGATATTAACTGGCTGTTTCCTAAGCCACTTGTTTGGTTATGATATGTGTCTTACCAGGGAAAAGGTGACCAGCTGCCAGCCCAGCTCTGCTGCTGTCGTTGCCTCAGTCATATCCAATTCTTGGTGCAGAGTGGCAGACTATTAGTTGCTGAGTTCTGTCAGCCCTCTAAGTGAAGAGCACCTGCCCAAAGCTGTTCTGGTTTTAATTGAAAGGACAAGGCTACATGTATTCAGCTTTTTGAGATGACCAAAGTTAGTTAGGGTTTCCTTGATATAGCTAAGCTGCTTCAATGATCTTCACATTTGCACTCCAGTTTTTTTTCTTTAAAAAGTGGTTTCTACCTCTCCATGTGCCTAAGTGAAGATACAATCGCTATTTAGTTACTAGCTGAACAAATTCACAGAGTGTGTAAAGAGTAGAATCTGAACTGTATCTTGACATCAGTTATTCAAACTTGAATGTAAATATATACATTATGTATAGTTTTTAAAAGGTTTGCTTGCAACGACCTTATAAGTGACATTTAATGTCATAGCATGTAAAGGATTTTTTTTTGTAATAAAAATTATAGAATCTGCTGCCCTCCGCTTTCTTACACTCTTTCATCGTGATTCACTTTCTTTAAAGTTGATTCTGTTTCCTGTACTTAAATTTACTTGACTCTGCTATGAGAATTTATGTTGATAACTTTTTTTTGAGACAGGGTCTTGCTCTGTTGCCCACGCTTGAGTGCGGTGATACAATCTTGGCTCATCACAACCTCTGCCTCTGGGTTCAAATGATTCTCCTGCCTCAGCCTCCTGAGTAGTTGGGATTACAGTATGAGCCACCACACCTGGCTAATTTTTCGTATTTTTTTAGTAGAGACAGGATTTCACCATGTTGGCCAGGCTGGTCTTGAACTCCTGACCTCAGGTGATCTGCCCGCCTCGGCCTCCCAAAGTACTAGGATTGCAAGTGTGAGCCACCACACCTGGCTGATAACTTTTAAAAATAATATTTCTTACAGGTTATGTACACACCCAGCAAGTTATGGACAATTATCTGAGTAGTTTAAGAGAGAAAACTACTCTGCCAAATGTCCAAGTAGCTATGGGAAATACTTTCCTTACCTACAGTGTCCTAGTTTTATGGTAGGTGTGTAGTCTGCACATTAACTCAAGTATTGGGTGCCTACTTTGGAATGTTGTAAAGAAAAGGAGACACTTAAGGGATATCTTGTTCTTTTGTCTCCTGTCCTCACAAAAGGAAGAGGAAAGGTGACTTGAAGACTTTGTTTCTTGGTTAGTGTTCTCTGAGAAAGGCAGCTGCACATCAAAAAGTTCTCAATGGCTCAATTCCCATTTCCAAAGTCAAGAGTTACAAAGAAGGCTGGAAAAGGCACAAGTTTCTACTTCCTGTAACCCAGACTGACCATCTGACTGAGACAAAGCACAGAAGGTGTCTTTCTGATTTCCAAAATGAAATATTTTCAAATAAATTATTTCAAAGAAGTATAAGCACCCAATTTGACAGTTGGCAAGAGAGTATGTGGTTAAAAAAACCCTCAAAACCTCTTCTCTGTTTCCACCCTACCTCTCATTTCTCATTTCTGGAGGCATTCATAGTTGACCAGGGTTTATGTAACCTTGCAGAAATATGAGAATAAAAAGATGCAATACAAACACACAAAATCAAGTGGATACTTGGGATAATTTTGGGGAGTAGATCATTTTCCTCATTGTATAGCTATATCTTTAAGTTCTTCCTATAGTCTTCAACAGACAGGCTTAAAGGCCCAAATAATTCAGATAAGAATCTCAGCTCTTTCAAGCTAGATTTCTAGATTTCCAGTAGAATGCTTCAAATCTAATGATTCATAAATCTGAGCAACTGTGAAAGATTACCTTTCCTATAAAACAGCAATGTGATCAATGTGATTAGTTCTCTTAGAAAATTGAAGTTACACTCAAGTTCTCATTCTTTGCACCTATAGTTGAATGGAGTTCAAGAAATAAAATGATTAGCTCTAATCAACTCAGCTGATCAGAGGAAAACGATATCACTTAAAAATCAGTTCTGTCAATATTATTCTTATGTTTCCCCATCTGCCCTTCAATAACTTGATGCTAATTGAATCTTGTTTGAAACAACGGCCCCCCCTCTGAGCTCTGCTGCTATTTGAAAGAACTTGTTAAAGGACTTGTGATCTGCTTGCTCACAGCCACCCCTGGGCTTTCCCTGCAGAGGTCTTCGACATGACAATGTTTCCTTTTTGATAAGCATTTAAATGTATACCTAAACAACAACAAAATACCAACGTGCTTGGTCATTTCCTTAATCTACCATCCTTTTCTCTGAGAAAATAAAGCTTTTCCTTCTGAAGCTAGTAATAGCACTTAGCCCTGATGGATGTCTTCCTTAATGAAGTTGGCTATTATGACATTCGTATAATGCTGTTCTATGAATCAGGCCAATATTAGCTATTTTTTGCCCAACCCCAGGGATCTTTAAAAGCTTTCTTAATGCAGATCACTGTACAGCTATACTCAGTGTTAGGAAGAGTCCTGGCTAGAGATTGGGATGAACTAGGTGACCTCTGGAGGTCCCCTCCAGCAATGAAAATGCTACAATTCAATGACTTCTGCATACTTTATTTTATACTTATCATTTGAAGGGAGTTAGGTTCTAAGAGAAAGCAAATGTACTCTCTAGGATTACAGTGATACTGTGTTTATACAGGAAAAGAGGATTTTATACACTATCAAATACATCTTGTCAGTGGAGATACCTAGGCAGTGTGGACCATTTACAGAGAATTCCTTTCCCCATTATTCTGAGCCTTGTGTTATTTTGAGTAAAATCTCCACTGAAGTATGAGGTTACTACATAAACTGCAACTACTCAATCCCATTTCCATTTTACAAGATTTCAAACTAAATATGCTAATTTACCCTCCAGCGATCTGTTGCAAGAATGAATAAACAGTGGACAGTTCTGGCTGTTATATAACTATTCAATGTTCCTTTGTCTTCACATAATGACCATGTGTCTACTTCTCTGGACCAGGATAATGGGAGTGAGGAAAAGGAAAGCATTTAATAATAAATAAAATTCCCATAACTTGAGTACTAGCAAACAAGGACTTTGCTGATATAAAAATCTAAGGCATTGTCACCTAGAGTTTCAAAAGATTAATTGCATGCGATTTATGCTTCCTCAATCTCAAATATGGTGAGGCCCAACCCTAGAAGAGGTTGTCTGATTATCATGTCATTTGAAAAAAAAGCAGCAGGCTCAAGAGAGTTGGATTAGCTCTGAAGTTCTTAATTATTTCTTATGGCCAAAGAAATGATCTATATTTGCTGAATATTGAATTTGAAAACCTCAGGATCTAATCAGGTTCTGAGAGATGGTTAGTCTGACCACAGACCTCTCAACAAGAAAAATGCCCATTGTTAAAACTGTATTTGTGGTTTTAAAGTAAAACCATCCTGGACATATCTCACAAATAATGATAAATATCCATCTAAATAGAAACAAAGATGCTCATGGTTTTTACCTCTAACGTTTTCAAGTCATGAACGTGCAACAAATCTGCAAAATAACTCTATTTCAACATCTCATTTTTAATTGCTTATTAAGTTTACTTGTTATTCAGAATTAAAATTTCAATAGAAACTTTAACTAAATTCAATAATGAATCAAGAGGACAAAAATCCTAAATATTGGTGTGGAAGGAAGGTCTACTACTGAGCTTGTAAAGATTTCAACACAATCTCTTCTTCTAGAAATCTTACTATTTTGGAAGAAGGGCCGAAGAGTAGTCATTTGGACTTGTAATAGCTAATAAACTGTTGCAAGTTAAAATTGACACTTTCGAGGCATTTCTAGAAGGTACTAGACTCTTTATCACACTGAATTTTTTTTTTTTTTCTTAAGACGGGGTTTCACCGTGTTGGTCAGGCTGGTCTTGAACTCCCGACTTCAGGTGATCTGCCTGCCTTGGCCTCCAAAGTGCTTGGATTACAGGCATGAGCCATCACGCCTGGCAGCACACTGAATTCTTAGGAATTTTTCAGAGCCTAAGCTTATACAATTTGGGGAGACATCTGTAAGAGAAAAAATACAAAATCATCAATACAAAATTCCCAGGATGTGGAATGGTTCAAGTTAGTGAGGTTTAAGTTTCACTGGGTTCATAGTAAATCTATATCTGCCCCGTCCTTGAAACCATTGCTTTTTCTTCACTGCCATCATTGCCTATGAGATGATAGCAATGATTGCTTTGCTCTAACATCTTGGAGTCAGAGTCACTGTTTGTTTCTCTTCAAATGCATCAAATTAGTGGGTAATGGGGAAAAGGGCAGGTTGGCACTCTGTTCTACTCTCTTAGCATCTCAGTCTCACTGTGCTCTTCTGGGCTATACTGGCTGGCTGACTTTAGCCAGTGGGCTTACTTCACTGCCTTAGAATGGGAACCCTATTCTAAAATTCCTGGAGGTTCTTCTCAAAGATATAAACAGAAGAGAAAGATATAGCTGGAGACAATGCAACCACATTGTTAGTGTCTAAACATTTCCTAGGTTGGAACCACTAAGGCTGAAGTAAAGGACCTTGAAAAAATAACATCATTATTTTTTTCTTTTCTTAGAAATGGGATCTTGTTTTGTTGCTCAGGCTGGTCTTGAACTCTTGGGCTTAAATGATCCTCCTACCTCAGTCTCCCAAGTAGCTGGAACTATAGGCATGCATTGCCAAACCCAGTAAGAATATTATACCTAAGGGAGGAGACCTGGATTTCAGTTCCAGTTGTGTTTTCTGATTAAAAGGAAGCATACTTTTCCTGATCTCAGATTCTCCTATAAGACAAAGTGGGTTGGTATGGATGATCATTACATTCCCTTATCACCTTAGTATTTCTTCACAATCTTTCACCCTGCTGGTTATTACTGAAGAGTTTATTTAGTAGTACTGTAGCTGTGTAAGAAAAATGTCAACAAGAGGCTGGTATTGAAGTAATATCTGAGACCTTTAAAAACTAATCTATCTGGTTTTAAAATCTATGTGCATATGTATATGTCAACTAGGTAATGTTCCTCATTAGTCGACCTGATTAACTAAAAGCTAACGATGGTGATAGCCTCCAAAAAGACTGCTTCCCTTTGAACAGATAAACTAGATTCTAACAAGAGGCTTTTCAAATGGTGTCAGCACTTCCCACTTGGATTCTCAATTTCCTCGTCCTTAATTCTGTACTTCAGAGTTGACAACTTCCAAATAGAGAGGTGATATTGAATCTTTTCTCTTCCTTTCAGATAAATGGGACTCTTTTCTGTTGAAGAAAAAAATATGGATAAACAAATCTCTCCTCCTTTCCATTAGTCACCAAATCCTGTCTATTTCACCCTCTCCTTTAACTCAGTCTTCATTTCTCAACTGATGCCTTACTGGTCACTTTACCTCCAGTCTTCTTCCCAGTCAATCCATTTGAAAGCCCTGCCTTCATTGTATCGTTCTACTTTGAACTCTCAGTAGGTTCTTGTAGCAAGTTGAAGAAACTCAGAGCTCTTTAGCTTGGGATTCAAGGCCCTTAACA